TGTTCAGTGATCACAAGAGTCTAAAGTATTTGTTTGATCAGAAAGAGATGAACATGAGACAACGGAGGTGGGTAGAATTTCTAAAAGATTATGATTTTAAGTTGAAATACCATCCGGGTAAGGCTAATGTAGTAGCGGATGCATTGAGTAGGATGTCTGTCAACGTGTCCCAGTTGATGTTGTGGGATAATGAATTAATTGAGCAATTCCGTGACTTGAAACTGACGGATGTCTTTATTGGGAGTGTGGATGAATTCTGGACTACACGGGTTGCAGATGGGTTGCATGAGAGCTGTCGGGTGGAAAATAAGTTATATGAGAAGATTAAAGAAACACAGGTACGGAACGACAGTGTCAAATATTTGAAAGGGCAAAGTGGAATATCTGTGAATGAGCGGGGATTGTTATTGTATCAGGGCAGAATTGTAGTGCCCAAGGAGTTAGCAGGAGAGGTAATGGTTGAGGCCCATAAGGGTCAGTTTGTTGTACACCCGGGTGCCACAAAAATGTATCAAGATCTGAAAATTAAGTTCTGGTGGCCTGGGATGAAGAAGGATGTGGCTGAATATGTGTCAAAATGCTTGATTTGTCAGAAGGTTAAAATAGAACATCAGAAACCGGCAGGGTTACTTCAGCCGTTAGATATACCAGAGTGGAAATGGGAGAGCATCTCTATGGATTTTGTTTTTGGTTTGCCTCGGACTCAGGCTGGTCATGATTCGATTTGGGTTATAGTGGACAGACTTACGAAGTCTGTACATTTTCTTCCAGTGCGAGTGGACTTTTCTACTGAGAAATTGGCAAAGTTATATGTGAAAGAGATTGTAAGGCTCCACGGAATACCGGTTAGCATTGTGAGTGACCGGGATCCGAAATTTACTTCTCGTTTTTGGGGAGCCTTGCAGCAGGCTTTTGGCACTCAGCTTCGGCTGAGCACTGCGTATCACCCGCAGACTGATGGTCAGACTGAGAGGACCATACAGACACTCGAGGATATGTTGAGAGCTTGTACACTAGAGCAGGGCACTGCTTGGGACAAATATTTATCACTGGTAGAATTCTCTTATAATAACATTTTTCACTCCAGTCTGGGCATGGCACCGTATGAGGCATTGTATGGGCGTAGATGTCGTACTCCTACTTGTTGGACAGAGGTAGGCGATAAAGAGAGGTTTGGGCCGGATTTTGTGCAAGAAACTACAGCACAGATCGAAATGATCAGAGAAAAACTTAAACAGGCACAGAATCGGCAAAAAAGTTACTATGATAATAGACACAGACTGCTTGAATTTGAAGAAGGTGATCATGTGTTTGTGCGGTTATCTCCAGTTACCGGTGTTGGACGTGCATTGGGCGTGAGGAAGCTGAGTCCTCGCTTTATTGGGTCGTATCAGGTAATGAAAAGAGTAGGACCAGTGGCCTATCAGCTTGCCTTACCCCCACAGTTGTCAAATCTGCACGATGTTTTCCATGTATCGCAGTTGCGGCGTTATATTCCGGATGAATCACACGTGGTGATACCGGACGATATTGAAATTAGAGAGAATCTGAAGGTTCCTATAGGTCCTAGTGAGGTCCTTGACCGTAGTGAAAAGAAGCTTAGAAGCAAAGTGATTCCAATGCTTAAAGTTCAATGGGAAGGACGTACGCCTGAGGAGGCTACTTGGGAGCGGGAGGATGAGATTCTCCGGCTATATCCTGAGTTAGCGGACATGTATGGTTTAATTTTGCGGACAAAATTCTAAAAAGTTGGGGTGAGTATAACACCTCACAATTTTAAATCAAGTAATTAAAATATTAAGTGAGCAATCAAGTGATGGATTAGTGAAAATCCTAAAGATTAGGCCAAAATACAAAGAAAGGGCAAAACGGTAATTAGCCAACACACAACCCTAGGAAGATAAAAATTGAGTAAAAGGTCTCAGATGGTAAAAATAACCCTGGAAATGGGTTTAGAACGAAAAATTGAGTGGATAGGCAAGTTTCAGAAAAATCGGTGAATAGTGTTTTTCGCGGGTAAAAATACCGCGTTACGATTGCACCGTAAAACGTTCCAGTTGAATTTTGAGCTCTAGGTTTCAAATATGAGTTATAAATGGTCCAATGAGTTAGGAAATATGATTGTTGATAAAATTTGATGAAAGTAAGTCATTTTGGGGAAGCGTGCCAACGGCGCGCGCGATAGCTTAAAACAGTGTTTTCTCCGAACGAATGGAGGACTCCGAATTCATCTGATCAAGCCTAATTAAAGTGGAATAGTTAATGTAAAAAATTAGAGTTTCTAAACAGGCTTTGAATTTACGGACGTTTAGTGAGAGTTTTGACGCGTTTTGAATCGCGTGAGGTGGCGTGGGACCCACCCCACTTAAAATTCACTTAAGACACATCATCACTACACTATTCATCACCTCCTCCACTCCTCATCAGCCCCAAACCCGCGCCCCCCTCTCTTTCCCTTCCTCTTTATGCAAAAATTTTCTTTGGACCATAACTTGGCCATTTCTCCACCAAATCACTTGATTCTTGTGTTGAAATTTGTTGGTGAGAACCTTCGAAACCCATTGGTACCCTTCTTGAGCCTTGAAATTGAGTGTGGGAGGAGATCCTGCCCATTTTCATCCGCGACTTGGAGGAGAAATTTTGTGTTCATGGAGCTTTGGAATGCTCCAATGGTGGTGTATGTGTAGGAGGAGCCCATTGCCTAGCATTTGAGTGAGTTGTTACACCTTTTTATTGGTTGATTCTTGTGATTGAGTTTTGAAAACTTAAAGCTTTGAATTCATGAATTGTGATGTTAGAGAGCTCAATTTGAAAATGTGTATTAGATGATAATGTGTTCGAATGATGTATTAAAGCTAGAAATGCGATGAAATTTATTTGTGAAAATTGATAAATTTAACATAGAAAAATTGATGATCATGACATTGGACTTTTGAATGTTGGTGTTGAGACTTTGTATGATGAATTGTGGCATGATGGTATGATGATATAATAGGTTGTGTGAAGGTTGGAGTGATTAAAATTGAATGGAAATTCCTTGGAATGTCATAAGGCAAAATTCGAACCTTTGAGGAAAAATTGAGGAATTGATGTTGAAAAATGATTTGGATGATGATTTGTGTAGTTATATGGTGCTTAGATGGGTTGTGTTGTGGTTGGAAAGTGTTTGAATCAATGGAAAAAAAAATGAATTGTGTTTAGAGACCTAAATGAGCCTAAAGTGAAATATTTCGCAAAACGATGCGTAAATGTCGTAAAACGGAAAAACGACGATTGAACTAGCCTCTAAGCAACCTAAGGAAGTGTTATAAAATGAGAAAGAAAATTTAGAAAAATAAATCCCCAAATAACACCTATATGGCCGAACCTTCAAGGAGAAAAAGGGGGATTTTGCGGTTTTCGCGTTCTGATGTAATTCGACGCGAAAATGACGAACCGGCACTTGAATTGGCCTATTGACAACCTAATGAGACGTAACAAATGAGAAAGAAAATTTAGAAAAATAAATCTCAAATTAACACTTGAATGGCCGAACCATCAAGGGAGGATGGGGAGGATTTTGTGAATTTTGCGTTTTGATGCTATTTGACGCGTACTAATGGATGTACGTAATTGTATAGGTTGCCGTACGTTGACTTGAATCCCGAAACTTGAATCTGGGAGTTGCCCTTGGTCCTGGACCAAGTGGATTGAGGTATGTAATTGGTTCAATGCATGTATAATTGTAAATTAGCATGTATTGTTTGAATTATAAGAGATTGGGAATGTCCTATGTGTAGGCATTCTGCTGTGTACCAAGTTGAGGGATAAGCTGCTGCGGAGCTTGTGAAAATAATATTTAAGGTAACCTCTTGGTACTGGGGCTTGCTCCCCTTTTCTGTTCCACCTTGCCAGTTGATGGCAACGGTAGGAAGTGTGTATGAGTAGTATAGAACACATGAGCATGCATGCATTATTGCTATGGGTACTTATGTACCGAGTCTCTGGCCAGTAGACAGTTTTATTAGCCTTCGGGCAGTTTCGGACTTCCGCTGGATAGGTCTCCAGGAGGGAGTTCCAGTTGACCGCGTGTCATGGTGTGTGATCCGGGTAGGAGCACACTAGGAATGTCTTTGGCGTTTTGGATGGTTTGGGCATCATGGTTGTGGTTTCTGTGAACACACCTTGGATGATACCCATAGGCTTATATATGCCCAGGGCGTACGTGGAATTGGGGTTACCATCCCGTATCGTCGTAGTTTATATCTTTATATTCCTCATTTCTCTAAATCCCTTGTTATATCCTGTTTTCAAAGTGGTTGTTTTATTCTATTGATATGCATCGAAGTGAACCATTGGGTGGAGTTTTCTCCAGAACCTCTTGGTTACTGAGATATATTCGTTTCGTTTCTCAGTCAAACTAAGCGTGTGATATATCAAAATGAAGTTTGAGGTGTCTAGTTTGTAGGATACAAATTTGAGAACAAATGAATGAGTGGATTGATTGCAGTAATTCGAGTAATGTGAGTAGCTTGGAGCTGTTTTTGGGGTTGATTGGCTATTTGCTTATCTAACTTCAAACGGCGATAACCGGAGCAAATGAGCTCCGAATTGAGCGTATGATAGCTTGTTTAAAAGGGAATTAAGTAAGACAAAGATATAATCTGAGAAGAAGGTTTGGTTGCGAGCGGTGTGGTCGCAGAAAAATTAAGAGTGAAATATGTCCGAATAGGTAAAAACGTAAAGTTTGGAAATTGGCTAAGTGGGTTTATGGGAACCCCTCTTGGTAACTTATAATAAGTAAAGTAAGTTATAAAAATAGTTTAAATAAGTCTTCCGCAAGAGTTTACGGTTACGGTCACAGCTTTTAATTATTACGTTTTTTATGTTTTAAATGCTCGCGTAATAATCGAAAAAAGTTTATTCGCATTTTTATAAATGAATTGCTGTGATTGTAACTGCGCTTAATATCATAATTAATGTTAACAATACCGGTGTACAACGGGTTGTTACACCCTCCCTTTTGGAAGCATGCCACGAACAGAATGTTCAACAATTCGTTCAGGAATTCTGTTCTGTAGCTGGGAAAATGTCTCCACTTTCATACCACCAGATCGTCCTGAGTGCCTCCTATAAAGCTTTTAGGTCCTGTTTTCCCCAGTTACAGCAACCTTTTCTGCATTTACCTTTAGAACTCCAAGTTAAATAATAAAGAGATTCAGATTATGCATAGCAATCATGTAACTTTGTATGTCATAAAACATATTCTTGGCTATACATGCCAATACGAACTCAAGAAAACAATGTTGTTGAATATCAAGAACAAGAAGATTTATAAGTAATCTGTGTGTCTTAACTACACAGCGGAGAGTCTATTATATAACTCAAAAGAAAGAAAATACAAAGAGATATACATGATGTGGGACTTCTATACTACTATTCTAAACTATTATTTACAACACTCCCCCTCAAGCTGGAGCATATAAATCATATGCACCAAGCTTGTTACATAAGTGATCTATCCTAGGCCCTCTCAAAGACTTAGTGAAAACATCAGCTAATTGATCAGTTGAGTTAACAAAACTAGTGACTATATCTCCAGAGAGGACTTTTTCTCTAACAAAATAACAGTCTATCTCAATGTGTTTGGTCCTTTCATGAAACACTGGATTGGAAGCAATATGTAAAGCAGCTTGATTATCGCAAATGAGAGATGTTGTGCCAATGTCTCCAAATTTGAGTTCCTTCAATAGTTGTTTTAACCAGATAAGTCACAGGTGGTTGTGGCCATGGAGCGATATTCTGCTTCAGCACTTGATCTGGCAACTACACTTTGTTTCTTGCTTTTCCAAGAAACCAAGTTACCTCCAAGGAATACACAATACCCAGATGTGGATCTTCTATCACTGGGGGAACCTGTCCAATCAGCATCTGAGTATCCCTCAACTCTGGTATGACCTTTGTTTTTATAGAGGAGACCTTTACCTGGAGCATTCTTGATGTACTTGAGGATACGGATCACTGCATTCCAATGATCTTCACAGGGAGAATTCAAGAACTGACTTACTACACTGACTGCAAATGAGATGTCTGGTCGAGTAACTGTCAGATAGTTCAGCTTCCCAACCAATCTTCTATACCTTTCTGGATCTGAAATAGCTCCCCCTGATTTGGCATAAGCTTGACATTTGGATCCATGGGGGTATCGACGGGCTTAGCATTCAACAAAGTTGTCTCCTCTAGAATGTCCATAGCATATTTCCTCTGGGATATCACAATACCATCCTTGGATTGAGCCACTTCAATTCCCAAGAAATATCGTAGTCTTCCGAGATCTTTTGTCTGAAAATGATGACTGAGATGTTGTTTTAACTGAGTAATGCCTTCATGGTCATCACCTGTAATGACAATGTCATCAACATATACCACCAAATAAATAGATCCAGAGTCTGAGTGGCGATAAAAGACTGAGTGATCAGCCGCACTCCGATTCATACCAAACTGCTGGACAATGGTGCTAAACCTCTCAAACCAAGCTCGTGGAGACTGTTTGAGACCATACAAAGATTTGCGGAGTCGACAAACTAGACTGGACTCCCCCTGAGCAACAAATCCAGGAGGTTGCTCCATATAAACTTCTTCCGCAAGATCACCATTGAGGAAAGCATTTTTGACATCCAATTGATAAAGGGGCCAAAGTGACGGATAGCAGCCATAGTAATAAAGAGGTGAACAGACGCCATTTTTGCCACAGGGGAAAATGTATCCCCATAATCTTCACCAAACACCTGAGTATATCCCTTGGCCACCAAACGTGCTTTGAGACGATCCACCTGTCCATCAGGACCAACCTTGACAGTAAATATCCATCTACATCCAACAACAGATTTTCCAGAGGGAAGAGGAACCAGATCCCAAGTACCACTGCCATGAAGTGCACACATCTCGTCAATTGTTGCGAAAAATCGGCAAGTGCACCGATCGTTCCAAGTAATAAAGTGATAAGAAAAGTATCGTCTGCACAGGGATTGGGTCGAATATCAATTAATTGTTCCTTTTAAGAATGGAAGAACAAGAGTTGATTTGAAAGTAATGGTGGTTGTAACAATTGTGAACTATTCAATATTTCGTGAACAATTCAAAAGAAGTTGAAAACTTAAAGCAAAAGGGGTTGAGATTTGAGAAAATATTGTAAGAAAACTATTGCAATAAAGAACGCCAACACCTTTTTGATCCCCACCTTGTAATAATGATTAATATTTATGTTTAATTACCCAATTGATCAAACAATTCACCATCTATAATTAATTAGTTAAGCCCTAATCCCTTAGTGATCTTAACCTTATTAACCCTATTGGAATCCTAATCCCTTAGAAATTCCTTTTCGAGTTAATCTTTAAGCCCAGTGAATTTTCACATTTGCAGTTCATATAGCCTATCCCTAGTGCATACATGAACAGTTATCTTACCCTTTGTCAGGAATTAGAATCCCAATATTCCTATTGTAAACCCTAACCCTCGCAATCCTAATAGAGTCGCGAATTCTAAAAGAATTATGGGATGAAGAACAGAGTAAAATAAATTCAATTGAATAATTAACCATAAACTTTAACCAAAATACAAGGGGTTCACATCAAGGGTTGTGACCTTTACCACAATATAAAAGACTAGCCAGACATATTCATGTCTGACAAAACAAAATATTCAAAAGAATTCATAAAACTGAAATTAACCAGAAAGAATGGAAGAAGAAATCTTGATTCTTCAGGCACCGAAAGCTCGCTCCGATTCCTGATGCTCGCAATTTCTCCCGTGCAAAAATGTGTTTTTCTCTTGAGGTCTGATTCTTTATTTATAGAGTCTTTGACCTAGTGGAGAATCTTGATCTAATCTTTTCCGCATCTCACTGTAATCTTGTCTCTGATTTAAACGAAGATTTAAGTCGATTTGTCCGCACCTCCCACGCCACTAGTGTGGTTCCCACGCTGTGAGCGTAGGAGTTTTTCTTCTATATTCTGGAGCACCACGCAACTGGCGTGGCTGCCACGCTGCAAGCGTGGATTGTGAAAAAGGCTGGCGCTACTAGCGTCAATCCCATGCTAGTAGCGTGGTAGCTTCTGCCTGTTTTTGGACCTCTGGCGCTACTAGCGTGAGTCTCACACTAGTAGCGTGGTTGTCTCTGTGTGAAAGGGCTCTCTTCACGCTATGAGCGTCATACCCACGCTGTGAGCGTGGGCCTTCAGTTTAGCTTTTCCTCTTTAGCTCCAATTTGTCTATTTTCCGACGAAATCAATATAAAATCAGTATGCAATCTCTGATTAAGAATTTGACAGAACAACCGTGATTATTGCCCTTTTTGCTTAAGATTTAATCACATTCTTTCTCTTTTTGGCTTAGATTTCCTTATATGCTGAGCGCATATCATCAATCATAGCCTGTCGCCATCCGGGATGGGATAATGCCTCACCTGTAGTCTTAGGAACAGATACAGAAGACAAAGAATGAAGACAAGCAAAATGTGATGGAGAAAGGCGATGATAACTCATATTTATTGAATACCTGGGTGGAGGACGAATATTACGAGTACCTTTTCGAAGAGCAATGGGTAGGTCAATGTCGGAGGGCGGGACCGAAACCGCAGGAGTTGATGACGGCAGATCTGAGTGCATAGGAACCTCATCAATGTCTTGGGGTATGGGTGGATGTGACCGACGGTGATAAACCTGGAGAGGAGGATCTGGTGCTGGGACATATGGAGAAGTGACAGTAGGCGTTGGTGGTGTGGAATCTGGTGCCGGAACATATTGGATTGGAACAGAGGGTAAAGGTAACTGAGTATCAACAGAGTCATCGGGAACGGAGGTGGAGCCAAAAAATGGCACAGACTCAAAGAAAGTAACATCCGCCGAGACAAAAGAGCGATGGAGACTGGGAGAGTAACACCGATAACATTTTTGTGTCCGGGTGTAACCGAGGAACACACATTTGTGGGATTTGGCAGACAACTTGTCACGATTGGGACCGAGTTCATGGACAAAACAAGTAGAACCAAAAATACGAAGGGGTAAGGAATGTAAAGGCTGATGAGGAAACAAGATAGAGTATGGTACCTGGTTACCAAGGACAGAGGAAGGCATGCGATTAATGAGATAGCATGCAGTGAGAACAGCATCACCCTAAAAATTGGTAGGAACATTCCAATGAATTAAGAGTGTCAAGACTGTTTCAATAAGATGACAATTTTTTCTTTCAGCAATCCCGTTTTGTTGGGGGGGGGTATGCGCACATGATGTGTGGTGAAGGATGTCGTGAGATGCCATGAATGATTGAAATGGTTGAGACAGATACTCACGAGCATTATCACTACGAAAAGTGCGGATAGGAATACCAAATTGAGTAAGAATTTCATGACAAAACTTCTGAAATATGGAGAACAACTCAGAGCGATTTTTCAGTAAAAATAACCAAGTGTTTCGAGAATAATCGTCAATAAAGGTAACAAAATATCTATAACCCCGAGTTGATTCAGTACGACTAGGTCCCCAAACATCAAAGTGAACCAAACTAAAAGGAGAGGAGGCACGACGATTAACTCTATTAGGAAAAGAACTGCGAGTATGTTTCCCGAATTGACATGATTCACATTACAAAGTAGACAGCTTGGACAAACGTGGTACCATCTTTTAGAGCTTTGTAAGACTAGGATGACGCAACTGAGCATGAATAGTGAGTGGAGAATCTAATACAGAATGAGCATAAGAGGGGCTGGAGAGCAGGTAAAGGCCATTGGACTCAAATCCACCGCCAATTGTCCTCCCCGATTTCGATCCTGTAAAACAACAGAATTTTGGGTAAAAGAAATGAGACAATCAAGAGAACGTATTAAACGGCTAATGGAAAGGAGATTAAAGGGTGAACCAGGGACATAGAGCACATTATCAATAGTAATGGAGGGAAAAAGATGTACTGTTCCAATCCTATGAGACTGAACCTGGGAACCATTAGCCATAGTGACAACAGGCAAATAACCAGAGATAGAAAGAGAGGAAAACAAAGATTTATTACCAGAAATATGATCAGAGGCACCAGAATCAAGAACCCAATGACTAAATGATGAACTTTGAGTGAAACTAGCAACACTATTACCTGTATGCACAACAGTAGCAGTGGAACCAGTGATCATGAGCCGAGAAATATCTTGAGGAAGGATAAATGAGCTAAAATCAGCCATGGATCAAGAACAATTCGCTGAAACAAAGATGTCGTGAACAGTAATGGAAAGAGGAGAAATGCTTTAGTGGGAATTTAGGAGCGGGCATTGGACGGAAAGAACCGCCTCCTTGTGACGATCACAACTGTGGGTGGCTCGCCGGAAAAAGTTCCTGAAAAATGATCGGTGGTGGCGGTCAACAGCGGTCAAACGGTGGTCCACGACGCTGGCAACCTCTGATGACGGTGGGTCTTGCGGCGTTGGGTAGATCGGCTTCTTCTGAGTCCGTTGATGTACTTTTTGATCAAAACGGTCGCCGGAAAACTTTTCCGGTGGAGGACGGTGGTGGCAGATGGTGGCCGGAAACTGACGACGGTGACAGTTTCCGGGAAGATTTTTACTCGGTAGACAGTGGGTCTATCGGAAAGATGCGGATCTTGTTAGGCTCTGATACCATGTTGAATATCAAGAACAAGAAGATTTATAAGTAATCTGTGTGTCTTAACTACACAGCGGAGAGTCTATTATATAACTCAAAAGAAAGAAAATAAAAAGAGATATACATGATGTGGGACTTCTATACTACTATTCTAAACTATTATTTACAACAAATGTAAACAACATTTCCTATCTTCAAATTTGCGTATTAGAAAATCAGAAATTATATTTGGATCATAATGGGCCTGAAGTACGTGGATAAAGGTAATAACAGAATTGAGGATGGCTAAGGAGAGAGAAAAGGAAGTGAGTTAGTAAGGGAGGATTCGTTGAGAATATTCTTGGAGGATGGGATAACAGGAGGGGGAATTGGTGGAGTATGCTTGTCTTGTTTTGTTTGGGGAAATTAGTAGGTAATTCCAAGGCTGTATCAGCCATACCAGTAGTAATTCCATTAGATAGGGGCTGTAAGGAGCTTGTCTCCATCTTAATTTTCTTGTAATTCTAGTTCCATTAATTGAGGTTTCATCACAGATCATAACTCGTCCTCATGCTTATAATGCTACATATTAAAATTTCCTTACAATGTATAGAAAGTAAATTGAAGAAGAGTCCCTACCTTCAGATTTACATATTGTGGACTAAGTAAAAGAATAATGTTTCTTGTAGCTACCAAATATATTGCGAAAAACATGACAGATATTCATACCTAACTAGACTCAAGGCTGCTTGATTAACACATCCCCAAACATAATGTAAACTACAGATTATGTTGACAATCAACGTAAAGAAATCTTAAATGTAATTCAAGGTTCTTCATCAAATAGGATATTTTTACAGAAATGAAGTTCAGAACAATATGACTATATCTATGAAGTTTCTACTCCATTTTCATGGAAAAGCTAAAATGCAGGAAACTCACTTCAACTATAAGATAATTTCGAAAAACCTCAATGTAGTTTAAAACGTGTTAGAGAAGTATATAAACCATTGATGGACCTTCACTTAACAGCTTAAACTTTTGGGTTGAATTGGTTCTTTACATGGTATCAGAGTCTCAGTGTTCCAGGTTCGATCCTTGCAACCCCCATTTTCTTTGTGGAATTTTACTTTAGCACAAGTAGGTTGGCCTGATATATCATCCACATTTCAAGCCCAATGGGCTTGAGAAGGCGTGTTTTGAAGATATATAAAAATCATTAATGTAGTCTCACCCAACAGCTTAAGCTTTTGGGTTAAATTAGTTCTTTACATAGTATCAGAGCCTCATGTCAGGGGTTCGATCTTCACCACCCCCCATTTAATTAACAATTAATTTAGTATTGTGGAATTTCTTAACACAGGTAAGTGGGCCTGTGCATTATCCATCCTTCATGCCCAATTGGCTCATATGGGAGTATATAAACCATTGATGGGCCTTCAATTAACGACTTAAGCTTTTGGGTTGAATTGGTTCCTTATAAAACTCAACAACTCAAATCCTTTAACTTATCAAACTGTAAATATCAACTCCCTATATAGGGGCTTCTGTACATGCATAGGGGTTAATTTTATATGACCTTGACAATTTGGTGAGTTATAGGAGTCAAGCTGTTGAGTTTGGAGTCATAGGGGGGGAGGTCAGTGGCGGAGCCGGGCTCCAACCGGAGCCCAGGCCAAAAAATTATATGTGTATTTATTTTTTGAGTAAATATCATTTTCAGTCCTCAACAAATTTTACGATGCTCGTTTTAATCCCTAGCAAATAAAAAGGTTATTCATGGTTCCTAAGAAATTCAAAGTGGATCCATTTTAGTCCTTTTGAGGGACTATTGTGGGTCTTTTTTTAATTTATGAGGGACTACGATTTCAACTATATGGTCCATTTTGAATTTCTTAGGGACCACGAATAGCCTTTTTATTTGCTAGGGACTAAAGCGGGCAACATGAAATTTGCTGAGGACCAAAAAAGGTATTTACTCTTTTTTTTTTTTAATTTTAGTTAGTTCATATCATAATATATTTAAATTATATTAGACATAAAACACTTGAGCAGGAAGCATTAAAAGAATTATAATTTTATTAAATATTTTTAAATTTTATTGAATATATTTTAATGTTTTTATATAAATGGAAATGCAACACATAACTTAATATAACTTACTCAAATCTCTCATCAAATATATTTTTATTTTTTGATAGGGCCAATTATAAATTTTAGCCCGGGCCAAATTACAATTTTAGACTGGGCCAAATTATAATTAATTATATAATTATACATAATAAATACAATTTGTTAAAACTTAGCCCGGACCGAGGCCACACCCAGCAAGCACGTGGCTCCGCCACTGGGGGTGGGTGGGGTTATTTTGAAAATAACCCCGAGCGGTCAATGGGGACGGACTGTAAATTCGTTGGCACTATGTCTACACTGGTTCAAATCCAGTTCTTTCCATTTTAACCAAAAGAAAAGTGTTCAAAAGAGAGATTGACTGTTGTGATGCACATTGTAATGCATAAGGTTTTTAGCATAAATAACAAACCATGAATGTTTCCATTGCCAATACCAAAAAGACAAGGAATGCCATCTATAATAAAATAACCACTCTCCATTAAACCCGACTAACGAGGGTGGGTGAGAGTAATCCATGTAAGCAATCTTACCCTTATATATTTGCTAAAAGGCTAATTTTCGAATTTGAACCCATGATATTTAAATCACAAAGGAGCTACTTCTAGAGAATGCCAACCATAACGGTATCCATAAATATGGTACACTATGAAGAGATACATACCACAATTACAAACGCATCCATGTCCACACTGGGAGTATAGGTCATTGAATTTTTCCCTCTGATGTGAATAGCAATTGTTGATGCCAGTCTTCCAAGAATTTTGTCAGTGGCATCAACAACATACCATGTTTTCTCATGAATCACATGATCTGCAGCTTTCGGATAATAGGTCTTGTTCCAAATGTCCTGTAATTATTATTATTTTGGATGGGGAGTTTAAAGTTCATTAAATAATCTACAAATACATAATAGAAGAAATACAGAAATTGCATTTAGATGCTCATAATTTCTTTATTTAAAATTCATAACAAACACCCGGATACATTTTTGGACTCTGTTTATTCAATGTCAACTCTGAAGTAAATATTTAAAGCACTTTAAATTTTTAGTGTCCGGGTAAGGTTGATTTTATATAATGCAAAACAAAACTAAAAATCAATTGAAAAAAGAAATTAAAAAAGAAATTAAAAAAAATAGAGAAGAAGAAATCCCCTGTGATTTCCCAACCTATATAGGCTAGTGAGAGAAGAAAATAAGGGCATAAATTACTAATACTCATGCCAATCTACATTTAATTTACTTCAATAACAACAAATGAATACTACTAATCCCAACTCAGAAGACAACAAAGCTGAATTACTATAACTTCATATCCTAGTTTCATTCCTTCATAACACTGAAATTTTGATAAGCACTAAAGGTAAAAGAATCTTACTCATTTGTAGACATTGAGGGTGCTAGGTATTCTTAATTAGTTGTATAATTCTGGTTTTAAATTCCATGATATCTTCTACATGCAGATTTTATTAGTAATATTATCTGTATAACTAAGATGGACTCACTACAAATCAAACATAAGTTCTAAATAGACGAAAATAAAAGTGCAAATGTGGGGCGGCAAAATAGAATTTACCAAACTGGTTCAGTTATGTTAAAGATGCACTATGTTGAAGAAAGCTAAAGATAGTGTAACCATGTGCGGCTATAATCAAAGTTATTCTATATACACAGGTTCTTGTGCTAATTATCAAACTATAACAACAATGTAACATCAAAACTTTCAAGGAAAATTACAAAAAGGAAAATTCCAGGTAAAAATATTTCTATTAAGGAATAATTAACCATTCAAGTGGTTCATTCACTCAAAAACTTGTTATGTAATTTCCCCCATTTTTTTAATGCTGTAATTTATAATTCATTGATCATACATACCTATAGATTCTGTCATCAATACAAATCTGTATAGGTTTAGGGCTGACAAAACCTGTAGGTTATATAATACATCATGCGATAACTTAAACCTTTGCAAATCAATGCATAACCTAAAAAGAATGAAAGAAAAATAAAAACTTTGAAAATGTCAAACCTTTGAGAAATTAGAATATCAGTAAGTATCTAGTTCAAGTAACACAAGCATAGAACCATTAATAACCTCAAGAAAAATACGCCCAAGACATTAAGGGGTTTAACAAACATCATATATCTCAATTTCAGAAAATTCACCTTTCATATTACATACAAACTATTAAAAACTTTCAACTTTAAAAGGCAATGTCTAGTATTAGAAACTCACTTCTTTTAGCACAGCAAAGGCTTCTATTCTAAGTTCTGGATCTGGGGCATACATTATAACCATTTTAATAGCCTGAAAGGTTAAAGTGTAACCATATGAGAAGAATTTATCAGCATATTGCTTCCTCATTAAGGAAAGTAAAAGATTCAGCAGTGATAAACAAACTGAAGTCAGGAATTGCAGTAAACAACATGTAAAGCTGAGAAAAGATTTGGAATATAAGCTGACCACTCAGAATGCTCATCATTGGTGTTTCCAGTTATAACTCCATCTGTGATGCAAAGCAAGAAGTTGATAGTATGTTTCTTTAACTCCCATGGCAGATTTACAAAGGAAAGTACATGCTTTAATGTTCCTATTGCTTGCCACCTTTTGGTCCGGTTATTGCGAAGTTCATCCTTGATGGCAACTAAATCCTCTTTAGCAGTTTGAGCAACCTCCTTTGAGGCCTGCCCCCCAAATCACTGAAAAAAATGGATTTTTGATGGAATAGGGAAAAATGCGTAAGAGATTCAATTACATTAATCATCCTAACACAAACCTGAAAGAGCAGCACCATGTTTGACATAAGATAAATAACCCATATCATCTTTATCTTCTGAGCAATTGAAGGGGAATAGAAAAACATAAAGTGGTGTAAATAATGCTTGAGTTAACATGGAGATAAATTAGCAGCAGACACGAAGTAACCCAATAGTACTACCTCCAAAAATCGAGCTAGCCACAGTCTCGACATCATCAGTTGTTACTAGATTGAGATATGATAAACCACAATATGAAGACATTCGAGACAGTTGTAATACCATTGAACGACAACTGGAAGCTTTATAGCTTAAGCTGGCTGAAACAAGAGCCTTAACAGTGTATGGTAACTTATTAAATCATATATTAGTAAATAAAATCATACTATATAAGTAAGGAATTTACTAAAAAGTAGTTGGGAAAGAATTACAAATAAGAATAATTATAAAATTTTAATACAGTACAGAGAAATCTACCAAGCACTGCAGGACATATAGACCAAGAAGATCTCGGAGCTTCTCCTTTGCAACACTCTCCTGTTGTAAAAGTGAAAAAAAAAAATGTCAGCCAAAAACTTGAAAATAAATCAGTAATTTAAGTTTTCCTTACAAAGAAAAAGATAAGTTGTTTTAAAATTGACAAACCAACTTATTGCAAACTTCACATGTAGAATTTGCAATCTCAACAGCTCTGTCAAAAACACCCTCAAGGAACGGCTTCTTCTGACTCCAAAGACACAGCCTTCAATACATTAAGAATCATAGGAACAGCTTCTTTTACTTGCTCAAACTGACGCCTCCGAATGGAGATAAAGACTGAAAAGGAAAAATAAGTATGAATGAAAACTTTGAAGCAATGTGGCTTCAAATCATTGACAGAGCATTTAGGTTTTTCATTCCATCAAGAAAGATACCTTCAACTTGAACATTATAGCTTAAATACTAAGACAAATGCTCCATTGGTCTTTATGTTAAAAAAATTTGAGCCCATTAACAAGACCATAGACAATCTAAAATCAAGCTGAAGCTACCTTAAGAATTTTTTTATCTTTTTTTTTTTTCTTTTGAAATTTGATATAAAAATCCAATCTTAAAATATGACTTGTTTATTCCTCACTGTATTTGAAGGTTTAAATAAGATCTCGACAAAGCTCTCTTATCTTCCAGACATCCAAATAACTACTTCAAGTGTCGATCCAAAGAAATATAATTTTTTCACCAGAAAAAAAAAAATGCAATATAATTCTTTCTCACCCTTATAATGCCACTTTACCCAAACAATACTTTGTCTCAGATCAGTTTTGCTAAAGTCCTCTTAAACTCAAGATTCAAATCACTATATTCAACCCAATAAAGTTATACATATATGAATAGTTCAAAATGCTGAAGCAAAAGCACACTGTCTTGTTAGAAATTGCTTCTCTAGCTTCATCCTTCATTTAGACATGTGATCAAACTTTAATAGACAATATCCATCCCTTTTAAAACATCTCTTTCAAATTTATCCTATTATTTTCTTATCACATAAGGGTGGTGAAAAAACAAATTATAAATACCTTCAATAAATCTCAATAAACCGATTAAAACAAAATTGATATTGTATTCAATTTTCTCAATATTAACATAATATAATCACAAATTCGAGGCAACTCAGGCTGAGAACAACAAACTGAGCTTGGATTGTAAAGGCCAGAGAGGATAAGAAGTGGGTTCTCTTTACACCAAACCAAGAGCAGTTAAGGTTAAAGATAACCAAATATAAAGTTCATAGCATGAATCCAATTATGAGTTTCACATGCTGAAAGAAACAAGAAAAAGAACATAATCCTTCAAAGTCCTATGTTGGAAGTGAATTAGCAAGACAACTGCTGCCATCTTTCTTGCTTTTTTTTTTGAACAGAGGTTACAACTTCAAATTCTATCCACTAATTAAAAAGTTTAATGCAATGAATTACCCTTTGAGAGCCCTGATAAAGGAGGAATAACGTAACTGGCAGCCTTGGTCATCTCACTTGAGTAACCTAATGTCTGTTTCAATTAAATTAACAAAAGTATAGGATCAAGATATTAACCAAAAATAATTAAATGTCACACTGGCACTGACCTTAGTTCTTCCCATGAGAAAATTTGACTTTTTTCTTCATAATACAATTCCAGATTTTTTTTTTTAAAAAAAGAAAAAAGTAGCACCATGCAGGTCAAACATTCTCATCAGCCAATTTGAGAAGGAGCACCATGTAGTTCAACCATATATTTATTTGTCAAGGTATAAAATTAGGGTGGGGGGGGGGGGGGGGGGGAATCTGGTGCTTTTTGAATAGGAAGAGTGAAAAGTTTAAGCCATTTTACAATTAAGTCCTGAAATCAGATTATCAGTTTGTGACAATGTAGTAAGCAATGGCTACCTATAAGTGTAGAACCAGAAGCATTATGCAATAAATCACTTATAACTAGGATAAATATAATAGTAATAATACAATTATTAGGAATGGAAAGAGGGTTTATCACTTACTTTGACATAACCAATGCGACGATCGAGGTTCAAATGTAGGTTCTTAATCTTTCCATATTCACGAAATACAGTTTGCAAATCATCCTCTTGCACTTCCTCATGCACACCAGTGACCATAATAATCTATCTGCTGTAGCAAAGCAAAAAAATAAAAAAATTGAAAATTGTAAAATGCAAAACCCTAATCCACAAACTACAGGTTAAGTTAATTGACAATGAGAAATTGAACAAAGCAGAGAGAGGAGAAGGAAATGAGAGACTCACCATTGGGGTCGATGATGAGCTTCTTGGTGGAAGAAAGAAAGAAGACAAAGATTGAAGGTTAAGTTCATCGACAATGAGAAATTGAACAAAGGAGAGGGAGAGAGGAGAAGGAAATGAAATGAGAGACTCACCATTGCTGCATCATCTTCCTAAACATTGGCAACCATCGTGGCGCGCATTTTTTTTTTTTTTTTTGAAGTGATGAAGTTGTAGCGGTCGTTAAATAACTTTTAGAAAATATTCAAAATTATAAAAATATTTCATAAATGTTTTGGGGTCAAAACTTGTCACAATTATATAATTTGACTAAATTAAAATTACAATGTGGCGATCCCAAAAAATGCCACAATCTGTCTATTATTTTGGAGGTTTTAATGACCTCCAATAAATAACCTCCACAAATGGCATACTTTTTTGTAGTGTGAGTGCCTTCTATAAAGCTTTTGGGTCCTCTTTTTACCACTTACAGAAACCTTTTCTGCATTTACCTTTAGAACTCCATGTTAAATAATAAAGAGATTCAGGTTATGCATAGCAATCATGTATGTAACTATGTATGTCATAAAACATCATACATGCCATACGTATAAACAGCATTCCTATCTTCAAATTTGCATATTGGAAAATCAGAAATTATCTTTGGATTATAATGGGCCTGAAGTATGTGGATAAAGGTAATAACAGAAGTGAGGATGGCTAGGGAGAGAGAAGAGGAAGAGAGTTAGTTAGGGAGGATTCGTTGAGAATATTCTTGGAGGATGGGACAACAGGAGGGGGAATTGGTGGAGTATGCTTGTCTTGATTTGTTTGGGGAAATTAATGGGTAAGGGGTACTTTTGGAGTCTCCTGGTTATTTCTTTCATTGTAATTCCAAGGCTGTATCTGCCATAACAGTAGTAATTCCATTAGATAGGGGCTGTAAGGAGCTTGTCTCCATCTTAATTTGCTTGTAATTCCAGTTCCATTAATTGAGGTTTCATCACAGATCATAACTGGTCCTCATGCTTATAATGCAAACTAACTTCAAACACATATTAAAATTTCCTTACAATGTATAGAAAGTAAATTGAAGAAGAGTCCCTACCTCCAGATTTACATATTGCGGACTAAGTAAAAGAATAATGTTTCTTGTAGCTGCCAAACATGATGCGAAAAACATTACAGATATTCATACCTAACTAGATTCAAGGCTTCTTGATTAAGACATCCCAAAACATCATGTAAACTACAGATTATGTTGATAATCAACGTAAAGAAATCTTAAATGTAATCCAAGGTTCTTCATCAAATAGGATATTATTACAGAAATGAAGTTCAGAACAATATGACTATATCTATGGAGTTTCTACTCCATTTTCATGGAAAGGCTTAAATGCAGGAAACTCACTTCAACTATAGGTTAATTCCAGAAAACCTCAATGTAGTTTAAAACTTGTTAGAGAAGTACATAACAGAAGAAATACAGAAACTGCATTTAGATGCTCATAATTTCTTTATTTAAAATTCATAACAAACACCCGGATACATTTTTGGACTCTGTTTATTCAATGTGAACTCTGAAGTAAACATTTAAAGCACTTTAAATTTTTAGTGGCCGGGTAAGGTTGATATTATATAATGCAAAACAAAACTAAAAATCAATTGAAAAAAAAAAACTAAAAAATGAAATTAAAAAAAAAAAAAAATAGAGAAGAAGAAATCCCCTATGATTTCCCAAGCTATATAGGCTAGTGAGAGAAGAAAATATAGGCATAAATTACTAATACTCATGCCAATCTACATTTAATTTACTTCAATAACAACAAATGAATACTACTAATCCCAAATCAGAAGACAACAAAGCTCAATTCCTATAACTTCATATCCTAGTTTCATTCCTTCATAACACTGAAATTTTGATAAGCACTAATTCTGTTATGTCAAAAGTGCAAATCTGGGGCGGCAAAATAGAATTCACCAAATTGGTTCAGTTATGTTAAAGATGCACTATGTTGAAGAAAGCTAAAGATAGTGTAACCATGTGCGGCTATAATCAAAGTGATTCCATATACACAGGCAAATGGGAGAACGCATTCAAATAGACAGTAATGGAGAACGCATTCAGATAAACAATGTGAAAAATATCATTGTTAATTTATATATGAAATCCTCTTATATGACCTCATGTCACATGAAAGTACCCATTCCTAATTGAAGAAGACATCTACGACATCTTCATATACTCTTACAATGACTGGTTTAGATTATGAAACGCATCCTACTTTAGCTTAGCTTGTAATATAGTGGTATCAACAATACTAATTCTGAAATTAATGAGGATGCTGAGGTAATTAAAATGACAAAATACATAACGTGCCATATAGGGATTAAGTTAGATGCATCAAAGTGGGGCTAGTCTTTAGTCCCGATGGCCTGAGTCTAATTCACTTGCTAAAGGGGCTGCTAATACTACAACTCAACCTACCTTATTTTACAAGATTAAATTGGCTTCATAAAGTGATTCACCTTTGTTAAACAACAGAAACATCTCATCACCAGAGTCTATTCTAAGAGGAATTACAAGGGATCAAAGCCCTCTCAATTGTCTGGCATAAACTGTGTAGAAGAAGAGAATTGGGGAAAGACAGATAACTGCCTAGTTGTTGAGAATATAAATTGTTGCAGTAGTTATTGTAGGAATGTAACTGCTATCCTGCAACTGTTATAAAAATTATTGTAGGAATGTAAGTTATTGTAGGAATGTATCTGCTGTAATGTAGCTGATGTAGAAGTTATTGTAGGTACTAGGAGACTAAATAATAAAGGCTGGAAAAACACGTAAGAGAAGGCAGAATTTAAGTCAGAAAGTTAGGAGAATAAGGAGAGAACATGCCTCTCCAATGCATGCTTCTACAATTCTGTGTATTGTCATTAAATATATATATAAAAAAAAAAAAAAAGATGTTTCAGATTTTTTATGATTTCAGTGGAGTAGTTCTAATTTAATTTCAGTTACTGTTCTACTTTTATTGATTGTGTATTGAGTTTGCTATCAACCTTCTTTCCGCAAAACAAGAAAATAAAGAAATTTGATTGATGTATTTTGATGTTATAAAGTATCTGGTAAGGAATTTAGAAACTAAATCATCCCCAATGGTGATACACCCGTGAGGTTGTGCTTGTATGCATCGTGAGGTTGTGCTTGTAACCATTTTTTGGCTTTATAGATAACCAAGTCACCAGTTTCAGTATGAAATAGTTGAGCAGATAGATGATTTGCTCACCATATATCTGCAATTTTTATTTTTTTTTTAAAAAGAACAAGTCTTTGTGTAAAAAGGACTAAAATAAGAAGATTAAGTTGTTTTGTAGGGATGTTTAGTTTGCTCATGCCAGAAATACAACAGCAAACATCATGAACCACTCCATATAAACTTCAAAGAATTTAACAAAATAGAATTTAATGCATACTTCATTTATTAAGGATGATTTATCATTGTTTATCGTAATTAACAGCACTACTGTAGCAACACAGCAGAATTAAAAAAAAAAAAAAAAAAACTTAATGAAGCCAAATGGTGAATTGCGATTGATGCTTAGAAGGAAAATGAAATTTAAAATAAAAAATGTTCGTTTGCCATCGTCAATTACAAGGACAGAAAAAAGAAAAAGAAAAACACAAAAAAAGAAAAGAAAGTACAGAAAAAGAAAAAAAGAATCATCAAATATATTTATACACAAGGCACTTGATGAATATCGATACGAGGATTCATCAAATATATTTTCAATTTGAGAACCAATTAAACACTAAGAAGAATATGATATATGCAACGGTAAAACGAAAAATAAATATTTGTTAATATTAAGGGGCAAATGAAATGGAGGGAGAGAGGGAGAGTGAGATACCACTTAATCGGAGACGAGAGATTCGATTTCGTGAAGGGTTTCGGTTTGCGCCATTGGAACAGAACAATGACAAATTGGGATTGGGGGGTTAGGGATTTCTTTTTACAGTAGTTTCCCACCACCGGTTCGTTTTCCCGCCAATGTTCGTTTGCCATCGTCAATTGCAGAGTTGCAAGTTAAAGGAACAGTATCGATTAGGGATTTAGAATTGAAAAGAAAGCCATCGTATGTTATTATATTTGTGAAACAGTATCGATTACATTACAAGGACAGAAAAACAAAAAAAACAAAAAAAAAACAAAAAACAACAAAGAAAAGAAAGAAAAAGAAAAAGAAAACACAAAAAAGGCAGAACACACGACAAACATAATAGGAAACAAGAGGTTCCCAAAACGAAACGAAACGAAACGAAAGAAAGTTTAAAAGAAACATCATAAGAAAGTTTCTCAAAGCTTGACAAAAGCAAAACATAACTGCTGGTCGTTGAGTCTAAAAGACCACAGTTGCACAGTGTCGTTGACCCTGAGATTGTTACTGCGCACAAGATCCATCCATCCGTTGGTGATGTTGTAAACCACAGCTTTCTCCATTTTCCATTTCTTCAAATGCATGTTGTAAAATTTAAGACTGGGATCCATTACAAACACTGGCAATCCAGCAAGCCTTTGATTCTGTCCTTGTTGTTGACGTTCTGCCATGATTGACTCCTCTCTTTCCCTTACAAAATTCTTTGCTTCCTTTTCCATTTTCTGAACTGGGATTGAGAAACGCCCATGATTTGGTGACAGATCAGTCTTGAAGAGTGATTTCTGAATCACCAACTTCACTTCAGAACCTCCCATTTCTTGAATCTTCTCTTTAATCGCCCATGGCAATTCAGCATTGTCAACAATTTCACCTTTGCTTTTCTTTGACGATGAACCTTTTTCCATGGACAGACGACCAACCATTTCTTGAAACTTTTCTTTAAATTCCAATGGCAATTCTGGCTTCTCAACAATTTCACCTTTGTGTTTCTTTGATGGTGAACCTTCTTCCATGGACTTGATCGAGAGAACAGAGCAGTCTCCTCCCAATTGCAGCACTTGTTTTTCCTTAGCAAGAAAGTCACCTAAAACAAATGAGCGACAACACATTCAATCTTTCTCCATCCACTGATACTTATACCATTAATTCAATCTCCAAGAAAAATTTGAATGAAAAAAATAAAAATAAAAATAAAGAGACATAAATTGGCAGCAGAAAACAGTCCCATAAAGAAAAACATACATTTTCTGTTATTGCTGAAACCAAAAACAAAGAAGAACCGAAAGCACCAAGAATCAGAAAATATAACAAGAAAAAAAAAGAACACTTTCAGAAGCAAAACGAAACAAACCAGACCGACAACATCGTAATAGCCGACGAAATTAAGAACAAGAAGAAAACATGGGGAACATAGAATTGACATAGAGGAATAAGAAGAGAGAAAGAGAGAGAAATTTACCGAAAGAGTGAGAGTGTTGACTGAAGCAGTGTTGGTGTTGGTGTTGACGACGAGTAATGGGAACGGGAGTTCTCTTCTTCTTTCATCCCCACAGTAAAGGGATCACAGGGCATCGACTATGCAACTCCAAGATCAGAGTTGAAAGTTCAACGAGGATTTCAGCAACTTCATCCTCCTTCGATCTTGTTAACGTTGTTGGCAATTCAGCCTTGTCAACAATTTCACCTTTGCTTTTCTTTGATGATGAACCTTCTTGCATGGACTTGATCACACGAAAGTCACATGATGATGATGATGAACCTTTGTGTTTCTTTGATGATGAACCTTCTTTGAGAACAGAACAATCTCTCAATATTTCCACAGCAAGATCACACGGTTCCCTCATCTTTTTCTTATCTAGATTTGAATTTCTTTTTTCCATTGCTAACGGCTACTTTCTTTTCTTTTCTTCTCTTCTCTTCTCTTTTGATTCTATGTGGTAACTAACAGTGGTATTGCTCTTCTCTTTTGTATGCTTGGCTAATCAACACCGACCTATTTATACACTCCCGCGTTAGTTAGGGAATTACAGAGTATAACGGCTACTTTTTTTTTTTTTTCTTCTCTTTACATTCTTTCAGTATGACGGGGAGATGGCGCATATTTATACATCTTACCTAGATGTATGCTCTAAATTAAAATAAAAATAAGAACAATATAAAAAATAAAATATAAAACATACATGTATACTTATTTTACTAAGAGTAAAGTCTTTTTTGGGGTGGATACCAAAAAAAAAAAAAAAAGTTTTTTTGGGGTCCGTAACAAAAAATACAGTCCCCACTTCCGTTCCTTACAAAAAAAGAGACTAATATGGGTCTTCATTGAATTTCTGAGGGACCATATTTTCAAAAAACTAGAATTATAGAGGGACCAAAAGTTAACTTTTTTTTGCAAGAGACGAAAGTGGAGACCGTATTTTTTGTTAAGGACAAAAATAGGCTTTACTCATTTAATAATCATGAATTGTAGTTGAATAAGGACATTTTATTTATTATGGGTTCATTTTTTCTGCAGTGAATATAGATAAGTTATCTGTATTGAGTTCAAAATGACGTCGTTTTGGGACGAAAATTAAGATATTTTTGTAATTATAATTTATTACAAAGTTGTAACAGTTTTTATCATTATAAATTTTTATGAGTAAAGCCCATTTTGGGTCCCTAACAAAAAATGTGATGATTATTAGTATTTTGTTTTTCATAAAGTTACTTTTTCAAGATAATGTAATTTTCATTTTATTTGTGTTTGGAAGCAGCTTTGGAAAAAACCTAAAAAAATATTTATTTTTTGGAATTTATTTATTTGATAATACCTTTTAAATATTGATCCAAATATTAAATAGCTCCAACTTTTGATAAAACAAAAAGATAAAATATAAATTTGTGTTAATTATGAAAGAATTTAAATAATCTAAATTAAAAATATAATAAGAATTATATGAAAAGTAAATAAAGGACACACAAACAAACAAACAAATATATATATATATATATATATATATATATATATATGTGTGTGTGTGTGTGGTCAGGATCATTTTACACTAGTGTAAGTTACACTTTTTATCTTATCTGTTGATCCCACCAATATATATATATATATAACTGAATTGTGATTAGTTGATCATTTTTTATAATTTAATACTTTGTGGTTGTTAAGGATATTTTTTTTTTTTTTTTGATAACAGTTAAGGATATTTTTAACATTTTATGTAATAAGAACATTTTGACTTATAAGGAGCTAAATAATATGCGTTCTAATCATAATGTGTCTAAATGATAACTTTTAAATCACATAAAGTTTATTAAATAATATATAGTAAAATCAAAAGTAGTGAAAGTTAAGTTTTTCCTTCTTCAAACTTCAAAGAAAAAGAATGAATATAAATGTGATATTAATTACGCTCGCTTAAACTATTATCATGATGTATGCTCTAAATTAAAAATAAAATAAGAATAATATAAAAAATAAAATATAAAACATACATATATACTTATTTTACTAAGAGTAAAGTCTTTTTTGGGGTGGATACCAAAAAAAAAAAAGCCTTTTTAGGGTCCCTAACAAAAAATACAATCTCCACTTTCGTTCCTTACAAAAAAAAAGGGACTAATATGAGTCTTCATTGAATTTCTGAGGGATCATATTTTCAAAAAACTAGAATTATAGAGGGACCAAAAGTTAACTTTTTTTTTTGTAAGAGACGAAAGTGGGGACCGTATTTTTTGTTAAGGACAAAAATAGGCTTTACTCATTTACTAATCATGAATTGCAGTTGAATAAGGGCATTTTATTTATTATGGGTTCATTTTTTCTGCAGTGAATATAGATAAGTTATCTGTATTAAGCTCAAAATGACGTCGTTTTGGGACAAAAATTAAAAAAAAAATTAATTATAATTTATTCCAAAGCTGTAACATTTTTTATCATTATAAATTTTTATGAGCAAAGCCCATTTTGAGTCCCTAACAAAAAAATTTGCTGATTATTAGTATTTTTTTTCAAAACGTTACTTTTTCAAGATAATGTAATTTTCATTTTATTTGTGTTTGGAAGCAGCTTTTGAAAAAACCTAAAAAAATATTTATTTTTTGGAATTTTTTTATTTGATAATACCTTTTAAATATTGATCCAAATATTAAATAGCTCCAACTTTTGATAATAAAAAAAAAAGATAAAATATAAATTTGTGTTAATTATGAAAGAATTTAAAAAAAATAAATTAAATTTACCAAAAAAATAATAATAATCTAAATTTAAAATATAATAAGAATTATATGAAAAGTAAATAAAGGACATATGTCGAGCACATTTAGTCGATCAAGTTGAACTTTTAATCGACTAAATGGGCAAAATTCAGAAATCAAGAAACACGAATTTTAGTCGACTAAATATTCACCTTGATCGACTACATGTCGAGCACATTTAGTCGACTAAGGCCATTATTTAGTCGACTAAATATCGCAGAAAATCCTATATCCAGACCTCTCTCGGTCTCATTTGCAATATTTTCGAAATGAAAACCCCTATTTCTCTTGTTTGTCAGCTGTGATCCTTCCAATCACCCTTCCATTTCATCCCACCATCTCTAAAGCATAGTAATTGTGAAATCATTGTCATTTTCCTTATTTTCTGATTTGTTTCCCCCAAATCCGAACCCAAAACCCTAAAATCTGATTCCTACCCCCAAATTCGTGTGAAAGATGAGCTCAAGTCCAAACATGTATGTTACCATGATTTACTATGATGGAAAGCATTATGAAGGCCCCAACGGTGTTCAATTTGAAGGAAAAACGAAAATGTTGAAAATCAAACGGGGCACTACGTACAATGAGCTTAAGGGGAGGATTCACCAAAAATTGGGGCTACAAGGCAGCCAGTGCGTTCAACAGATGATCGCCAAGGTAGAGTCTACAGTTGGTAAGGATGCTATATTCTACATTGGTAATGATATATGAGACGATGAAGATGTGGAATGTGTCAGATGCAATTGTGGACCGAAAATTTCAAAACTTTATTGAGATATATGTTGAAATAGACTGTGGTCAATCTTCATCTGCACCTATGCATGAAAGAAGTCAAAGTCAAGAAGACAGAGTGGTCGGTTTATCTGCTCCTGCACCTGTCTTAAGTCAGATAACACTGAGGGAAATAGACGAGGATGAGGATGACCATGAGGAGGATATGGACAGTGAAGACGATGGTGAACCCGAGAGTGTTATTCTGCTGGGTGACACCTCAGATACGGACGTAGAGGAGAATTTTGACGCTGACACTAGTTCAGGAAACTTGAGTTCCCAGGTGATGCCACCACTCCGTGTTGACCCTGTTAGCAGTGGTAAGATAGTAAATTAAAGTTTTTAAATGATTTCCTCAAATATTTTTTGTATGGAACCGATTGTAGTATAATGTACAAGCGTATTATGACTTGGGGAACACAATTTCAGGTACAAAACAGTCAAGGGGCGGTTATAAACCATATATGTACATGTATTGCATAAATCTTGGTTTAGGGTACCCGAAACTTGTGTTCGTCATTTAACTCTCTTATGAGTGACTGTTCTGAATTGCATTGGACATTTTAGACCCTTTGGACTGTGATTAGACCCAAATTGAAAACAAGAATGGAAAAATACCATATTCCTTCATGCGGTAAACAATAAAAATGACATAAATAAGTAAACGGTTCACAACATGATGGGAGCATTAAATAGTTCAGCTCCTAAACATAAAAACACATAAACTACAAATGTCAAATAAGAAGACTGAAGTCAATTATATATCAACACACACTACAAACGTAAAGTAAAAAACATAAACCCTAAATCTAATCCTCCTCCTCCTCGAACGCCGTCTCCTCGTCATCCTGGTCGGACACATCAGCCCCCTGCCCTGCAACATCCTCAACCTGTTGTTGTCCTCGTCCAAGCTCTAGACGAGCAAGCCTATCTTCAACACCCTTGAACCGTCCCTATATATGTCTAAACCTTTCATTCCCTTTCTGGATGTGACTCTTCCTCTATTTTTTGTGTTTCAGCGCCATTTTTCCTATTTTCTTCAGCGTGGCGTTTATACCCTTCATGACATCACGCAATGAAAACCCACCCT